GTGATCATCTCATCATCCAAAGCTCGCCTAATTTTTTTCCGGTATACCTTGTATTCTTTGTACAATTTACCCGAGCGTCCACCTAGCGTCACATTAAATCCATCACGCTGAAACACGTTGCCTCCTGAGGATTTGGGTAGTCCAACTGAGAAAACCACGTGTACGTCGAGACCACTGCCACTGAAATTGAAGAGCTGCCGAAGGTGCTGTCGGGCGTGGAAGTTGTAGACTGCTGATTTGTAAATGATCACGACATCGTGAGAGGCATTGTTGGACAGGTTGCCCGGAGTATGTTGTAATGTTTGAGGAGGACATGTCTTTGAGGGAACTTGGAGATAGTGGAGAGTGGGATTGTAGACTGGGTGCTGAAACAAAAGCGAATACCCTCGGAGATGAGTGTGTGTACGAATGTTTCGATTGCCAATGTACGTGTAAATGCAATCACGATACTATGGAGGTGCAACAATGTAAGTTGGTGGCTATAAATGTGCGGTATTTAAATGCACTTGCTAAGAAAAATAATTTTTATCGAGCGAGCATGATCAATGTCATTTGATATATCCCTCAGATCTGTTTCTTTTTGTTGAAAAATTATAGAATTCTATCATGTCTCTTTTGCAGTTCTCTGAATTAACACATGTAAATGCAGATGTCGAGTTCAAGAGTAGGGTCTTACCACACGAGGGTATTGATTGAAACACTGATGCTAATATCCGTAGTCTTAATATTTCTGGTTGATGCAAAACGGTTACTTTGATTTAGTTCGACATTTCTATAGTCAATTTTCATAAGTCGATCTGAGACAGAAGTGCATCGTGATATTGATGTGATGGAAAAACGAATACGGACAAACAAGACAAATCACTACTTTCCAGTTACGCTTGAACATTCCAAATATACACGTTCCGTTAGCCACAGACTAAGGGGTACTCGAATTCAAGTATGTGCTGATCATTTAAGCTTAGAGATTATCATGGCAACAAGGACCTAACAGTTATCGCCCGCATGAAATGTTCTTCACCCCTCCCCTCCTCTTCACCTTTCCCAGTGGACATTCACCTTGTCGGTTAGCAGGGACATGTGAACAAACGGTCGTCTCTTCCAACCACTTCACCAATTTGATGCGTACTATTAAGCGTCACAAGTGCTTAGTGCCGCACATGGTCACTTGCCATGTCGTTTACACGGTCGTTCCACGAAATGTACTCACATGACATTTGCTTGGACATCTTTGAAGCAAATGTCATGTAGCTTTGTTTACATCCATCGTACGCACTCACTGACTGTCATTCGGTCCATCGAACGCCTTGGCACTTGGTAGCACTTCATCAGATGGATGAATGACAGTGGTTGCTGTGACCCGCGATCGGGATTCTGGATGTATTCTTATGCTATAACGAGGTGTGGTGAGGCGCCGCTGTTCGCGTCCAATGTTGATAACTTCGGTAGTGCTGCATGCGGTGACAGATGACAAGCAATTGCCAAAAAGACTAACAATCGAAGATCTTATCCATGTCCCTATCCGCATGTGTGTTTGAGCTTCAATGTGATTCCAATAGTCTTAAACTGAACAAACCGAGAGCCACCTCATGTCTTCTCCGAAATTCCCAGGGTCACGTGTAATGTACACAGAATCTCTGTTGTGGCTTCGAATTCAACATAATTTGACCCATTATTGATAGTAAGTGGTTTCTATTTACAAACTCACGTCATTAATTGACAATATCTCAAGTGACTTTGGACCTCCTGCAAAATCATCCTTTTTCCATCAGCATCTTATTTCCCTGACACGTCTGTTATGTGCTGTAATGCCGTTAATCATCTACTCACAAAGCGTAACCTTTGCTTCTTGCAGAAGTTTCAACCTGTTAACTACTTTGCCAAAGCCTGGCGATGATTACTGCACTAAGTCAATTTGTGCACTCATTCCCGTCCAGACTGCTCAGCAAATGTCATTTGATATAGCCTATTAAAAGTAACCTTTCTTTAAAGTTAAATGCGCGGCCTCTGGGGACCAGTTGAAATGAACGTTGTTGAGTTAACTGTAGTCGAAGATGCAGCCATATTTACAACGAGCTCTGGAGGCCTATGTGAAATAATTTCCAAAAGCAACAACCTAAGTCTTCCATTACCACGGATCTAAGCCGAAATAGGACTATGTGAAACGTGTCCATTTAGCTAGGTGGGCTAACGCGAGCTAATAAAGCGTCCTTCAGTTTCCATACAACAAAGTTCTAGCATCCCATTTGATTGAAGGTGGCAGGCACTCAGCTTGATGTTCTTGGTTCCCACGAGCCAAGTGAAATTTTGAAACAGGCTTTATTCGAATATGGTTCATTTACCTGTGGTGATAGGGAATGGGCTTCCATGTAAAACAGGCCACAAACGTTAGAGACTCCATTGTGACGACGATGTTTCGCATAAAAAAAAAGTCACGCCACCGCAGAAAGTGGATGATGCAAATCGTATGCGTAAACTTATCACCAAGATGACGTCATTTAGCGAAAACCTTATCTACAATGCGTTACTACTTTCCAACTGAATGATTAATTTGCCCAGTGTCTATTGTAACCTGCCCGACTGATCAAACTTGACATCAGCAGGCAGCTAATTGTTTGAGTTCAGTGATGAATTACTTCGTGCTGTATTTTGGTGGAAACCAAAGATACACATGGGTTCTTATTCTAAAGGGCTTCTTGTTGATGCGTAATGTTGGAAAATGTGATCAATAAACCAGGGCATGAAAAGGCGTATTCAAATCAACTTGTACAAAATGAGTGCATATCAAGGACACCGATTTGAACATCAGTTGTCATCGGCTTTAGTCCAACTAACCGACCTAAATTTGTCTTGGTAAAGGGGTGAATACCCGATTTCCACTAATGCCATAGATCCATAACGACACTGTTTTGACGATTACCTTATTTATAACTAGTGGCTCCATGTTGATGACATACACTACATAAAAAAGTGGTATAATCGTCTAAATTGGCAGTTGCTAATTTAATAAGCAATCCATGGTGATTAATTTGAGAGGCTTATTTTCGCCACTACCCTCACTCTACCAAGTGCAGTTCAGTTTGCTGTAAAGTTCATTTGAACCGCCCCGTTTAAGCATGATTACATGTGATTTTGCACTCCTACGCACGACTGCGTGGTTAATCGACAACACTATTCCCATCCTGTTTTATCCATCATTTTAGTTCTTCGTATTACAGCCACTAGACATCTTCATTTCTAAATCTTGTGGACGTCTCCGACTTGCAACGAGTTAAGCGATCTTGTGATCGATTGAGCAGCTTACCTCTGGTCGTCTTTCCTGTCTGAGCCATTCGTGTTTATCTTGCTGGAAATTTGAATACTATGAAATCAGTGAATCAACAGAAACTTCATCAATTTTTCTCAAAGAATGGGCCATCTGCACCTCAATAGAATATTTGCCTCTCGAGTTGCCCTTACATATTAGGAGAAACAGGATCACAGCAGAACTCACAGCAAGATAAGACTGGTGCTGGTGTGTAACAGCTTTCTCAGTGCAAAATGAAAGTCCCTGGGGCGTGAAAACTAATCTCAACTAATTCCGTGCATCAGCAAATATGACGTCATAGTGCAACATCAATGAGACTTACCTCGAGTAGTGGCAATCCCAGGAGAATTCGTCGAATAGAATCCCTTGCGGAGATGGTCTGTGGATACAGGTCGTACACAGATGCGTCGAATTTCTTGAGCCACTCAGCATCGGGTATTTCAGCTAGTTCTTCGAAAGTCAGTGAAATGTTGCGTCCGTTGGATCGGATCTTCATCTCGTTGATTGTCGGTGGTTTAAGTCGAGGATTGTGAGGGAGGACGCCGTTGTAGCATAGGTGAATGATGTACTGACCTTGGCCGTTGTGGTGGATAGAATCATTCCACTTGCAGAATTTCGTGACAGAAAGGTTGTAATTCTGCTGAAATTGCGCATAGATGACAAAACTAAGCAGTACTCGGATTATATAAATAGCACCAGCAGCAACCGCTATTCGACGAAAGCGACTGGTTCTTGTTGGTCTTATCCTCCAAAACATTCTGAACAAAGTTGATGTTCTCGGTGAATCAGGCCTCGAAGAATCGAGATTTGTAATTTTTAGTTGTAAATAAAAAGCATCTTCATTTTCTGCATTAATGCGTTGTATTTTGTGAGCGTGCACTTTACACCAATCACCTCCGTATAGTAAATTACGCATACCTTCACCATGTGCAAGGCACCAATTGCATTTCCATAGACGCCCTTGCAGCTAAAGGTTGTAAACTCCACGCGTTTGATTGGTATGCCACTTAAACTAACAACCCGAGTATCTGTATGTGACGTCGCGGGGTCTATCAGTGTCTGTTTTTATTTCCACAGTGTGGAAATTAGCCGGTTCATTTGCATGAACTTTAGAAGTCAATACACCATTTCTTGAATATGCCAAAACTCTAGCATAGTAGGAAGGTTATATGATTCAAAGTATCACCTTTTATTATTGTCAAGCACATGTATTTTTAATTTAAATTTTTTCATTCGGAGCATTTCCGATTAATATTATGGCAACCAGTTGACATATTTAATTGGCTCATGTTAATTTCAAAGGTTTTGCCAAGTTGACACTACTAAATCGGAAAGATTGTATAATTTATGATGTATCTGACAAGATTTGGATTACAGTGAATATTTTTTTTACTATAGGCCAATCTCCTTGTTCAGACAGGCCCATAAGTATTGATTAAATGAAAAAAAAACGAGGAATCTCGGAGTATTGTAAAAAGGCATGTGTTTTATCCCAGCGACAACTCTCGGATATTAAAAATTTAAACATTCTGAAGTTCTCTCTCGCTGTGCTTCCCCAGCTGGGTCAGCAAATTTGAAATTGTGATCGTCGAACGATACCAAAACGTTAAGACAGAAAGGGCAGAATGGAACAACATAGCAAATGTACTATTTTCAACGTGATTTCCGCTATCGAAGTAATTGGACGTCACAAATCTTATCAAGTTTGATTGGTATAAGACAAGGTAGCAGTGAAATGACCTCCGATTGCTCGATTTCCTACTTAGGACTTCTTCATCACATCTTTTTCACAGACAGATTTCTCGTGGTGATCGAGTAAATTATTGACCACTTAATCGACTCACTATTTCAAGTCATCGCTAGCTATGTCTTCGGAATTAAGGGCATCTTTGATCTTCCCTGGTTTATTAATCCGCGTCTTCTTTCTTCCGGGGAGCTGCAGACAAAGGCTCGACAATATCCGATCAAAAAGAGTTCGATTTTTGTAAGACCCATCCGTTTCTTTAACGGCTACTTCCAGATCCAGAAGGCTTGTGATACCTCACATTCTACCACAAGACCTAAACTCAACTCTGCTTAAATTGTCAACGGTAAAAAAATTGTCACCATACGTTATTTTACTGGTCTTCATTAATACACGGATCGACTGCACACACTTGATGCGAAATAAACTGTTCGTACCGTCCACCTCAAAGTTCAAATTTACTTCGGTAGAGTGCAGCACGACCATCATGGTCAAAATCGATTTAATCAAATCCCTAATTCTCGTCTTCATTTGAAGACTCGACTCCAAACCCGGAAGGATCGGCGTTGGATGAGGGCTCTTGTCTAAAGAGCTAAAGTCTGTGTTTTGTGGCGGCCGTACTGGAGAGTTACTGGAGTTACCTTGTGGACTCACCTTGGCAAAACTTCGTCGAATTAAGGCACGAAATTGTATGCGATTTCTTACAGGATGTGGTGGGGCCCCTCACAACCACTAATGTTGGAACTACGGGTTGATCTTGCTACGGTTCCAGGCACAGAGATGCGAAACCCTAAGTGTAGCGGACCGAGCCCTTTTTGTCAGCACGTGATAAGCCTCCCACACTAGTTCGCAGACGAAACACGTGAAGTCAACGCCTCCCCACGTTAACGCAAGTCAATCCAAGCTTCATGCAGGGAATGTTTGTCGTCACAGCCAGAGGCCGAGAATACATTCAAATGCTCCCCTTCTATATAGTGAGGGCGGCCTTAGGTGCGGGTAAGGGAAGATGATGCACTCAAAAGTGCATGGACCAATAGGAAGAAGGGGGGAAGTGACTATGAAATTTGGTGTGCATAAGCGCGTGTACGTTTCGGTCCAGTGGTATGAACAAGAAGAGAGCAAGACAACGTGCAATTCTCTAATGAAGACTAAATTCAGTTACAATCTGGTCAGCCTTGTGGGGGAAAACAGGGTTTTTAAATAGCCTTGTCCTGTTCTCCCGTTGGTCCGTTCCTCGGTGCTGTAATGGAGATGGAAAACTCGTGAGTGGATTGGCTCGCAGCCCTTGGCGCGTCATTCAATGCCCACGTGAGGCCACGGAGCCGGACGTCGTGCTCCCGGTCACATGACGTCGCCATCATACCGTGCTGCGCACACTCGACCGATGACTGGCACCAAGATTGCGGTTAACTGCTATTCCGCTACGTACGGGTGATCTGTAAAACTAAAAATTGTGGATATCCTGGAAGATATATACTTGGGGATGCTGAATCTCCACAGCTCTGGAAAATATTGACGACCTTCAATTAGCACTCTTCTCAGGATCGCTTCAAGAGCTGAATTCGTCCAACTATTGGCTTAATCTGGCCAAGGCTGCGACGCCAGGTTACTTTATGGGGGTGCTGGTGAATCAGCATCTCTAAGACTGCGCTTTCCAAGAGTTTGACCATGATCAATTTTTCATTACCTTTTGAATTTATACACACCAATTCTCGTATTCGAATCGACAGCCCTTCCTATTGGCCCATTCATGTTTGAAAGCACTATTACTTTGAAATTGTCTCGAAGACGTCTGCGTCACACATGGGTGGGCTAGTCTGAACGCGTACTCTGCGCTAGGCTGCGGCAGTGAGAAGCTTTCTGTGCGAGGTCTTGTTTTCGTGGGGAGGCGCTGACTCATCAGCAGTTTGTCTCTGTGGCATTATTTGCACGCAGGACCTGCATTTCTGCCCCACAAAACCGAAACAGGGGGTCTAGATGTTATTCGTCAAACCGTGCCAAGCATTTTGCCGTAGTTTCTCAACAGCTTTAAGGCCTCATCTACGTCAAATACTACGCGAAGTTCTATCGACTACTCTTCTATTGAAGCGCCTGAAATTGTTAGATAAAGGCAATGAATGAATTTGCAATACCTTAAATACAAACCTCGGTAGATACCTTCCAGCAATTTGTCATTCGGATGAAATTTCTTTCACCATGTACTGCCTACTTCACTTTCATCCATCTACGCATCTCCAGATTCCAATGTTCCTCTATTTCTAACTGCGTTAATCCTGTAAACACCGGATCCAACCGATTTTTTTTCAAGTAAGTTCAATTCTTAATATTTGTCGACGGGAGAGCAAAAGTACAATTGATCATTTCGAACGTTCACCTCAGATAGCGATGTTAAGGGTCCGAGAATAAGTAGTGGAAACAAGTGCGTGGGAATGAGCAACGTTAACCTGAACTTACATAGTAAAAAATATTATAGGTTAAGAAACTGTGAATCAATAAAAAATAATGCAACTAGGAGCTTTGCGGCAATTTCGAACACAATCTCTGTGATGTACCTTGCTATTAAAAACTGTGTTAAAGCTATCATTTATCTGATAGCACTCAGTGGGTACAACATAACGAAATTAAACCTTTGGATACTCCGCTTACCCGTAATTTTGCGTGATGGTTTATCGAATTCCACAATGTGTTCCAAGCAGAACGTGGTTTATTACGACATCCTAGTGTCAGTTGGCATTTGACCAATAATCAGAGGCGTACTGGGCTAGTTGCAATACTGTGTTCGAGCCTCATTGTCATTGGCTGCTATGTACGTGAAAGAACTTGATTCATGTCTGGCAGATTGGTTGAGGTTGACGCACATGCAAATGCCACAATGCTTGCATATTCAAGCACAGTCTGTTAAAGGTGCTTTCCTAGAAATATAGGGGTTTTGTGCTTTGCCTTTTTATGTCTACATGTAGCGGTGTTCGTGTCTGTGTTTCAAGTTCAGCATGGTTTCTCTTTTGTGTGAACATTTTTTGAGGAAGCAACAGACACTGACGTCCCTGATATTTGGCTTCATAACAGCACGTGGTGAAACACAAGCACTCACCGCAACTCAAGCGACTGTTGTAGATAATTCTTCCTTTTCTCTGTCCATTCACACTCTTTACGCCACCAAGAAAATGCATTTTGGGTTTCTTTGCAAGTGAAGACAACCAGGTAGTAAGTAATGTTAGCATGGCTGGATGGCTTGCCAAGTCACCGTTCAGAAGCATTTAGGAATGCAAACTGGTTTCGGGTAGACTTCCAATGAATACCAAGTCATTGTCATTCAAACTTGAAGGGTCTATTAATGTGCTTCTGCCTTGTTTTCGTGTCTTTAGATTGCCATAACCCGGTTCAAAATCATGCTTTGAAGAGCAAGTTTAGTGAAATCAGAGTAATAATCTTCGAGCTGTAGTAGACGTAGTTCCACCTTGATGTTGCTGTGGGCCCCAGCATGTGGTCTTGAACCACGCCGGGGCCACAGAATTAACCCTGGCCCGAATACGCTTGCCTGGTGCCGCGATGAAGGAAAAGACTGGAGAGGACGGGACACAACCGTTTACTTCAGAGCTCAACCGAAACTGGTGGCATTGTGTCGGGTTTGAGCGTGTGTATTAATACCTCGGATGCGTGAGTCATAGATGCGCTAACACCGATACCTAAGTGTGAGGATCCGCGTGGCTGGCGACATACTGCGAAAAAGGGGAACCCTGTGTCGGAGGCGGAGCGATCGGATTAAGGGATGTGAATAAACACGATTCACAACAATGTCGTTCATTCTATATTTCAAATAAAACAGACCCCCTCGGTTTAATCGACTTTGATACGTTTATTTAGGCTGTACGTATGGTATTAAATGTGTGAAAGTGACTGTGGTCTCCTAGTTCTTCAGACAGGCTACTTATTTCCGCTTAGCAATGTGTTTAAATTGCTTTAGCTCCCATTTTCTTGTTTGTCGCTGCCACTAATCTGTGATGGGAATAGGTGATCATGATTTTGCAACACTCGAATAGCCGATGGGCTTTAATCGTATTCGGTTTGTTAACCGGGGTTCATTTTTCATCTTAAAGAACAAAATGTGTCGTAAATTCATAATTTATGCTTTCCTCCATTCGTCGCTCTCAGTTAGACCACTTTGATCTTGTCGGTGATTAACTTATTTCCTTCATTCTCATTTGCAGACCACATGTTCCAACGCTTGCAGACATTCGAATGTGAATACTCAATCTCCACGAGCACTAACAAATGCGATCGGCAGTAAGTACTAACAGCAAAATTTTCTTCACCATGACCCCAATTTGATCCATTTAGGTGGCAGTAGTGGGTACGAAGAAAATGTAATTTAGCGGTCTGCCAAAATACCTCCAATTTCTTATACGCCTGCCCCTCGACAGTCACTGCCAGACTTGCGACACCGGTGCATTTTACTCAAGGGAAACCAGAGAACTCGTTCTTCAGCGCGTTGGAACTGTGGTGTCACGCACTTTTCCCAGGTCCAGTCCATATAAACATCACCGGAGCCAGCATTTCATGATTGCGGGCCACCACCGGGTACAGTCGGTCACGTGCGTCTATCACGAGCAAGCTGCACCTCCACTTCCAGCACAGGTCCGAAGTCGCACCAGTTAACCCAGCCATCACCTCAGCTAGACCATTGGCCTCCACCAAGGACTATACGCAGGTGTAATGAACGTACACATTGCATGTACGAGGATGTGGCCCACCATGACTATCCTCAGACACACGAAATCGCCACTGAAGTGATTGTGCTTCTACCCTCAGCTTTGACTGGGCATTAATCACTCACGCCTCTCCGTGGACTCCCACTTTAGCCATTTCCATCGCTGTTACACTGTGCTTAGTCGTGACTACGAAGTGGTGTTTGGAGATTTGTTTGGCCACTTAATATACCCTGATCCACTTGATTCAGACGTGTTTCGGTAGTAGTGTCGAACATTTCACTTGGCTCTGTCCTATGCTTTTCTATGGCTCACGCAATAACAAAAAAACACAACTTTGGCAAAATACTCAATTTATATATTTATCACCTAGTTCTAGAACTTGCATTTTCGCTTCGTAAATTCTACAGTCGGTGCAAAAAACATTTCCTCACACTTGATAATTCTGTATGGATGAAGCCTTAATAACATTCCATCCAGCTTGGTAAATGTGATTCCGAGTTTAAGCTGCACCATCGCCAACCATATGTCGTCGACAACCAGTGGTTTCGTAAAATGCATTGCAAGAGCCATATCATGCACGTGACGAAATCCCCAAATACTGTAGATTCCTAGGTGCGTACGTACGTGTATTGGCCAAGGAATCTCGCGTTTCGAAAATGCCCATTGTTGGAGGGAAGATCTCGGACGGTGAACGGGATTATAAGGCACGGCGAGACCGTGATTCAATGTCTCACGTTGTTGTGGGCTTTTACTGCGGATAAATTCCATCAACTTCTGTGTATTAAACGCGAAGTCGTCGTCATTGAAGACGAATGTGGGGTGGTAGGGTCGACAGAATCTGGCGGCCCACTGAAACGTGTAGAACATTTTCAGCGTCAAGTTGAAATACGTGTCCTCATAATTGCCAACAATTAAGTCGCCATATCTCCTCATTTCCTCATCAAGAGCGCGCCTCGTCATATTCCGGTATTCTTCAGTATCTTTGTACAATTTACCCGAGCGTCCACCAAGTGTCACGTTAAATCCATCACGCTGAAACACGTTGCTTCCCGAGGATTTGGGTAGTCCAACTGAGAAAACCAGGTGTACGTCGAGGCCACTGCCACTGAAATTGAAGAGCTGCCGAAGGTGCTGTCGTGTCTGGAAGTTGTAGACTGCTGATTTGTAAATGATCACGACATCGTGAGAGGTACTGCTGTTCGTGTTGTTTGGCGGTTGTTGTAATGATTGAGGAGGACATGTCTCTGAGGGAACTTGGAGATAGTGGAGAGTGGGATTGTAGACTGGGTGCTGAAACAAAAGCGAATACTTCTGGAGGTGGTCGTGTATTGGCTAGAGACTTAGCACTACCTACAACCGTCTAATTAACAGCCCAAGACAACTCGGGTAGAGTGGAAAAGAGGCGAGGGCGGACACGACCGGTTTATTGATGTCAAAACAACGAAGTGGCTTTGTGTGCGTATGAGTACGCGTGCGTAACAGGCGAATGCTGACAGAGACCAATCACAAAACGGGTGAGTCACTGGTCCACTCGGGCCCTCATGCGCGCATCACTCACGAGGGGTGGCTGTCAGTTCACTACAGTCGTGTTTACGAGTGTTTCGATTGCCCCTGTGCGTATATACGCAATCACGAAAATATAGAGTAGTAATGTAAGTTGGTGTCTATAAATATGCGGTATTTAAATGTATTTGATAAGAAAAATAATTTATTAAGCGAGCATGATCAATATCGTATGGTATATCCCTCGGGTCTGTTTTCTTTTGATTGACAAGTGATAGAATTCTGTCCTGTCTCTTTCACAGTTGTTTAAATTTATTTTGTTGAGATGCTCGCGTTACCTTGCAGCACTAGTAGTTAGCAGCCTTAAAACACGAGTGTGCGTGTGTGTATTGGACGCGGGCATGCGAACGAGTTAACTAATGTAACGATTAGGTGAACCGTTTAACAGGTAGATTGATGTAAACCTGTATTGTCAATCTCTTCCTAATACGCGTCCTCTGACTCTCAAGTGAAAGCAATGGAACCTAAGAGATCATCAAACCATGTGGGTAAAATAGACAAGAATTGTTGCGACGCCATATTCCACTAATTACCCAACTAGGATGAAGTCTGTGAAGAACGGGAAGCCAACCGTTTATTCGAGGACTTGATGAAGTTGTCGTGCGTGTGCTGTGCAAGATAGCAAGTCAGTTTATATATAATCGGCTTAACATCGATCTCTGAACACACACAGTTACGCAAAGCGCATTCACCTAAATCAACTGAATCATGTTCGTTTGCGTTCGTTACTAGCGTTAGCTCACGATTACTGTGTTTGCTTGCTGCTCGCCACAGCCCTCCCCCTTGGTGAATGAAATAGACGAACCTTTCTTTCCAATAGTATTTCTGAAAGGTAGGCCGTAAATGTTGTACAGTCGAAGTACGGTGTCCTAGAAAAGTTTGGAACCTAGATAAAGCACAAGAGAGTCGTGGTTGAGTTGATATCAATTTGCCCATTGCCTTCCTCAAATCAATAACGTGGCTGCTTGTGTTCGGCCATAACAGTAGGGATGTTGCCATGAAAAGCAGCCCATGAATTTTCAATGTCGTTCCGAAAATCATTTATGCAGAGGAACAACCCAAGTCTTCCTTCACGGCCGATCGAATGCCGAATAGCACAAGGGGTAACATCCGACCAATGAGATGGGTCATTTTGAGTGGTTAAAGCGGCTTCCAGTTGCCGGTGAAAACTTTCCACCATGCCATTTGATTGAGGGTGATAGGCGGTCGTTCTAATACGGTTCGCCCCCAAAAGTCGTGTGAGATTTCCGAACAGGCTTGATTCAAACTGAGCTCCTCGGTCGGTGGTGATGGTGGAGGGAACTCCAAATAAGGCAACACATCTGTCAACAAATGTTCTAGCTACATTTTGGTGGAGATTTCTTGCATTGGAAAAGCATCTTGCCATCGGGTAAAACGATCAACGCAAGACAAAAGGTAACAGAAACCTCTCGAGTGCGATAGGGGTCCAACAATGTCAACGTGTACATGATTAAACCGAGTATCGGGAACGTTAAAGTGTCCAACAGGGGTCTTGCTGTGTTTGTCCAACTTCGATATTTGACAGCTTACACAATTTCTAGTCCACTGTGAAACATCGCGATTCATTTCAGGCAAAATATAACGACTTGAGATCAGTTTCCGTGTTGCACGCTGACTGGGATGAGCAAGAGCGTAAATGACTTGAAACACTTGGTGTTACATCGTCTTAGGAACGAAAAGACGTTGCACATCCGTTAAAATATCGCAGAAGACTGTACTTATGGATAAAGCAGAGGGACTTCGACTAGCTTTAAGGCTGTATATCGTCCTCGGAACTCCTGCAATCCTTCATCAGACTGCTGAGCGATAGCCATATCCTCGAAATCCTCACGTGTACCTGTATGTACAACGTCGATGTGCGAGCGAGATAGCTCATCGGCTGCTGTATTGTCTTGGCCTTGGATGTGACGAATGTCAATTGAAAACAGTGGAATAAAATCCAATTTTCATGATTCCCTTGGTGACAAACAATCCGGACTCCAACGGCTTGCAAAGGTCACCATTTTTACGTCTGTGTAGATCGTGAAAAGCCAACCCAGATTCTAGACAAGCTGCGGTAGCTCTCGAACGATGATACTTTGCATGGAGATTTCTGGAAAGCCTTTTTTTTATTAAACGGCTACTAAATGCTGTCCAACCAATTCTGGCCCCACTTGTCAGAGTGTCAACCCTCGAGCGCCTGGCAGATACAGCAGACCTGATAATGGAAGCGACTAAAGTGACACAAGTGCCGGAAATTAACGCTGGACCCCAAGGAGTGTCAAACATTTCTGCGCCAAACAAAGTTTCCAAAGAACTCGCTAAATGAAAGACGCCATAGTCAAGATCGAAGCGGCAATTAAAGCGCATTCACGTAAATCAACTGAATCATGTTTGGTCACGCTTGTTACTAGCATTAGCTCACGATTGCTGTGTTTGCTCGCTAATCGCCACAGAAAATTCAAAAGTTTACAACAGCGAGAGGTAGAAAAATGTTAACCCGTAGCATGTAAACTCAAAGGACAACGGGAAAAGTGGTAGCCCATCGAGTTTCAGACCAGAAATTTTACGAAGTTGTAGTTCTGCATCAGTCGTTTGAGTTACAGCTGACTGTTCACAATCACTGCCAGCGACTGACAGGTAAGGATTGTGCGCTCAGGAAAGGGGTTCAGCTATGACACCTTTATTCTCGTCACCCTGGCAGATATTGGACTCATGATGGGAATATCGGTCAAATAATGAGCAAAAAGCATGAGTCAGAGGTTTGTGATCGAGAAAACTGGTAACGGGGTTGTTTCATTTCAAGAGAACGTGCAGCAGCGAACTCGAGCTCATTGAAGTCTTTGGAAAAAGATGGATGATATTCTAAAACGTCCTCAAAATCTCGTCATAGTACTGCGCTGACAGCAGCTTGAAAAGCGTGTGTTCGTAAGACAATTTCTGATCTGTTCAAGCAGCACAGTTTCGTAACATTCAATGGAGCCCTTCTTATTGCACTAAATGCTTTTCAGCCTCCTTTGTTGTCGTTAGCTTTTTTGTCATTCCTTTGAACTTGGTCGTCCAGAGAAGATGAAATTGCAGCTGCTCGCAGATTGTAACGCCTGCAGTATTTTACCGAACTGAGAAATCAACGCAAGCTGTGGGTTAACTTAGACATCACTTCTGCCTTCACAGTCAAGTTTTTGATACCGTCTTCATCGATGTTGTGTCCAAGATAATTGAGGTCCACATTTTTGAGGAATTAGCATAAAACCATGCCACTTAGGACGAGTAAATATTAGTCGTTTTTTACTGGAGATTAAAATACCGTCGGTATGAACGAAGAGAAATTGAAGACCGCAATGAATCTCCGAAAAGTCTCGGTTGCTCAACGTATAACACAAGGCATTCGTGCGATCTAAAATGACCCAATTGGGGTAGTGTTGAGTTTAGGGTCAACAGGCATTTGATGATAAGCCTGGATGGGATTTAAATTTGATAAGATTGTAGCACCATTGAAGCTTAATAAACAAGCCATGAGTGTATGAAATACGGTACGGCTTTGAACTCACCGCAGGTTCTCCAGTGTCAGGATTTCTAGGGTACCATGAGTAATGGATCTGTCCAAGAGCTGCTTGAAGGACGTTTTTATGCCAAGGTGACACATAGTCCGAATTCTGAAATGGCTGCTCCGGATCTATCAAGTTCAAGATTCCTGGATTTATTGATTTGTTGTTAACGGACCTTTAAGCACGATTCAGTGCAAGACTTGTCCAGTAGGTTTGCTTAGTGCTTGACCAACTTTGCTGATATCAAGAAGCTCTTTCAAGCGCTATTCAAATCTGGTTGAAGAGGTCAATGTTAAACGGAGTTCTATCATAGTTATTGAAGCAGGAACTTCTCAGAGGGAGTGTGTGGTGTTTTGTCAATGAGTTTGCACCAGCCAACGTCAACTAGGAAAATAAATCGGAAAAAGATATCGATATGCATTATTGGTAGCTGAGAATGACTGTCTCCTCAGACTGAAATTCAAGGCGAGCCTCTTGTGGCCGAACATCGCAATGGGTTTGTTGTTTTCGGCTTAATATTTGCAAAAAAAAAAACTTTAAAGTTCTGCGTTCCAAGTCCTTGGATAAACCACACGAATCTCCGCACCCGACCCAGTCATAAATACATAACCGCCAACAACACCGATGGTTGGAAAGGAGGGATTTAGTTAATGGCATTAGGTCTGTCACAGCTGTAATGGACCAATTTTTGCGCTTCTTCATGGTGTTTGGATGGCTTGAAGGTCTGGGGATACCTGCATGGGCATTGACAGGCTCGTGCCTTATCACAATGACGATACTGGAACCAACATAAACCATTTCGCTTCCTGAGTTGACTGGATTATATAAAGCGATACACGAGCATCGTTGTCGTCGTCGCGGCTATCCACAAAACACTAATCATCATCCAAAGTGAGTTTGAAAGTCGGAACTCTCAATTCTCCGGTCTAAATGCAACCGTGATTGCCGAAAAAAACTAAAAATTGACGATAGTCCACTTTGACTTTGTCTTTTTGTCAAATTCTCAAATGGTGCGTTAGGATTTCGGACAAGGGGACAGAGTTTTTGTTGCTTGATAAGCATTTAGTCCACACTTGGAGAAGACCTGAACTGTCGACTTTGATTCTGCCAACCAGGAGGTGTGTGTGCCACAGAAGTGGAACTGGCGTTCTACCGGTGTCGAAGAGTTTTTGCTTCTTTCAGCCATCGTTCGAGCCAATTGTTCGGGCAGTAACAGCTTTTGATGAGGTAGTTGGTCAAGGAGATCAAGGAGTTACATGGTAACTGGAAAACAACAAGAGAATTTATGCTGAACCGCAATATGACCTCCCGAAATTGATATTCTGCCGCAGTTTACGTACACCAATGGGAAGAATAACGGAAACGCTGTTTCCAGAAGAGGAGTTCGAAGCTACAGGATCGGTCATTGGTAACTGAAGAAGGAACTGTGGCACTTTATATTACATCCAGATCACTAAATGTGGTGTTGGTACGGGACATTAAAACGGTGCTAATAGGCAAGCCGTAACAATCAACTGCAAAGAAATAACATGTGTCAGTGGACATGAGCGTTGATTTCCGTACTCACTAGCCAATTTTGTCCAAGTTTCGTGGTGGTGGTGGTGGTGGTGGTGGTATTTATTTCTTAGATTGCTTGCAAGTAAGTGTGCTCAGGCGATAAATACCTTAACGCATCAAATGGCAATATTCATTAAGCCTACTTTAGGCAATTAGTAATCACTAACGAAATTGATCATTGAGGTACTTAGAGAGCTTGTTATGCAAGTCCACTTAAAATATAGAATAAAACATCAAAATTATTTCTGAAGCAAATTTTCATAAGACGATCCGAGACAGAACAGAATCGTGATACCGATGTGATGGCAAAACGAATACGCACAAACAAGACAAATCACTACTTTCCAGTTACGCTTGAACATTCCAAATATACACGTTCCGTTAGCCACAGACTGGAGGCAACTCGAATTCAAGTATGTTCAGATCATTTAAGTTTAGAGGTTGTCATGGCAACAAGGACCTAACAGTTATCGCCCGCATGAAATGTTCTTCACCCCTCCCCTCCTCTTCACCTTTCCCAGTGGACATTCACCTTGTCGGTTAGCAGGGACATGTGAACAAACGGTCGTCTCTTCCAACCACTTCACCAATTTGATGCGTACTATTAAGCGTCACAAGTGCTTAGTGCCGCACATGGTCACTTGCCATGTCGTTTACACGGTCGTTCCACGAAATGTACTCACATGACATTTGCTTGGACATCTTTGAAGCAAATGTCATGTAGCTTTGTTTACATCCATCGTACGCACTCACTGACTGTCATTCGGTCCATCGAACGCCTTGGCACTTGGTAGCACTTCATCAGATGGATGAATGACAGTGGTTGCTGTGACCCGCGATCGGGATTCTGGATGTATTCTTATGCTATAACGAGGTGTGGTGAGCCCCCGCTTTTCGTGTCCAGCGTTGATAACTTCGGTAGTTGTCAGCGCCGTAAGTCCAACTAACCGAACTAACCGAACTAGTCCAACTACCGAACTAGGTAATGTGGCATATACCCGATTATCACAAATGTTATCGACCTGCAATGACTGCTTTGGAGATAACATCCGTTCCAACCGGTACGGCAACTCTAAATCACGTTTTTCACCCCCTTTTAGGCATGATCACATGTGATTTTGCACTCCTACACACGACTGCGTGGTTAATCGACAACACTATTCCCATCCTGTTTTATCCATCATTTTAGTTCTTCGTATTACAGCCACTAG